AGCCCTGACTATAACCCATTAAAACTTCTTTGAGACAAACTGGACTGCAAGATACCCCAAAACAAAAGAGTTTCTAAAATTTAATTTAAATGAATTCTGAATAGGGAACCCTTCTGCAAAGGCAATGCTAAATAAATCACAGCAAAGAAAATGTCTCAAGAAATCATTAAAGAATTAATTGATAGCATAACTGATTGCTAAAGGTTTAGATGCATAACTGATTGCTAGAGGTTATCAAACCAAGAGACTTCAAACATGTCATTAATTATTATATTATAAATATAAAACATTTAGTTTTTTAGAATTTTTTTTTTTCTTTTGTTTACTTACTTTCCATTTGTGTTATTAGGAAACTAAATATATTTTAGATTTCTAGTATTAACTTATTTAATTTTAATTAAAGAAAAAAAATGTACTGAGTACATTTACAAGTACATACAAGTAGAATAAACATATTTTACAATCAGAAAAATAACATCAGTAGTTTATTTATTTTACTTTCAAATTACTAAAAACAAAGATTGTCAACTTACTTTCTGACGCGACTGTACATATATGTATATATATTAGGGTGGTGCTTAAAAAACTTTTTCAAAGTAAATTGATGGGACAACCTCTATTTTTGTTCCTTTTAGCATAACAAACTTATGTGCAAAATTTGAGAAGGATATTTCATCATTAAGGGGTGCCACACGGGGTTGAAAGTTTCACTAAGGTTAATGCTAATGGCTGTAAGCACTTAAAAAAAATTTTTTTATATAAACTGTTTTAATTCAAAAGTTTTTAAATAACAAAGTACTGAACATTGAAAACCATGAAAAATTAACTTTAATTTCAATATCATTTTAGTTTTTCATTTTGTTTTGAATGGAAAAATGACTATTTAGTCCTATTTAACAACAGTGGATTTCTTGGCATTTGTCCTTCGTCTTTTTTTAGAATTTGGTTAAAGTCTTGGATAAGAGCAACTCCTCTCTCTGCTCTGTCATTCACAACGCTCAAATCGACTACAAAATGCTTAGCTGCAATAAAAACTTGGTCCTCGTTCCACAAAGATGTATCCAATTCGAGCCAAGAAGTTGAGATGCCCAGTATAACAAAAAACCTCATGGTGTTCGAGTTAATGAAATCAGCAAGCTATGATGATGAAATGTTGTTTTCACGTAGTTGAACACGTTTTGCAGGAATTCCATTTCCAGTTTTGATTTCATTTACCATCTCGTATTTTGTAGCTGCATCAACACGATCATCAAAAAAACTAAAGGCAATCAGTTCCTCACTGAGGTACCACATATGACGAGACAATGCTTTTATTTCTACATTCGTAACATTTAAATGTATTGTCCTGAATTGTGTGAGTCGTTTAAGGCACATGAGATCATTCAGTGGAGCTTGAATGGACAGCGAAGCAGTAAACCATGAGTTGAGATAGACAAAGTAGACAAAAATATTCAAGAAACGTGATAAATTTATTTCACGCTTTGCATGCGAAACTGGGATCTGAAGAGAAAAATTTTGATTGAATAAATAGCCTTGGCCATCCATCTGGCCCGATGCATAGCCCCAGGAGCCATAAAATGAACCCCGCGAGGAGGAATATGACCCAGGTAGATCAAAGACAGTTCTAAAAGTTCTCTATAATCATCACGAGGCTGGTTCTCTGTCAGCAAGCAGTTCTGAATGAAACCAATAGCTTCTTTCATCATTTCTCTGTTGCTGCTAAAAACTAAAGCTGTTTCAGGATCTGATATACCGTCTTCATATCTGTCACGAACGATTAATGGCCATGCTGTTTGAAACCTTTTAAACATCAAATCAAAATGTCTGGTCCAGTAGATGGTCCAGCTAATGAGTTAAACACATCTCCAAGAACAACTTCAAAAATATGATGCCGACATGCAAGATGGAGCAGCTCTTTATTCATCTTTTGTTCAATAAGAACTGCTGCACCAGATATATATATAAATATATATATATATATATATATATATATATATATATATATATATATATATATATATATATATATATATATATATATATATATATATATATATATATTGTTGTTGCTGTTGTTTGATTTAGTATTAAAAATATTAGGCTCTTGATTGTTGTAGAGCGCTCAATATTTAAGAAATATATATATTTTTTAAAAAACAGAGTGTTTTATACATAAGTTGAGAAAAAAAAAATTTTTAATGGAATTTAAATTTGCATGGCCATTGGCAATCATCAGCCATAAAGTACAAAATCAAAAATATAAAACATCCTTTAAAAATTACAAACTACGGCAGAATGAGTTCCGACGTTATAGTACAAAAAGACGTCATGGAAAACTAATTTTTGCTATCAAATAATGAAGGAAGAAATTTATTTTTATGTCTACATTTAGAAACTAATTCAATCAGGATACACCTTAAAGATGTATCCTGATTGCTTTAATGCGTGTTCATAAAGACATTTCGATTTATTAAAAATAACTTCACTTGATGAGTTGGCAAACAAGCTTAGCTCGATATTTTTTTGAAGATTATTTATTAATTTTTTGGAAGATTATTTATTATGTTAGGAGGATGGTAATAAGCTAAGTTATGAATGTACATAAATTAACTTATTATCAGACTTGCAGTATGGTTAGAATGAATTTTGAGAAAGATTAAAAGTTAAATCAAGGTAGTTAACAATTTTAACATTGCATTGATAAAGATATTGAGACTGTTATGTTTATAAACTTGAACGACATGCTTTTTTACTTGTTCCACTTGATGACCATTTTTGTCCTTAAAAACAGCTAAACTGTCATCTCGATATAAACTGAAATCATTTTTGTTGTAAAACTGCAAAAGTTGATCTAAAAGAAAAATCCCAACTAGTTTTACAAACTTCCATGGTAACATCAAACAATCCTGCTTTCTTTTTAATCCATGATATGCCACCATTAAAAATAAAAGATTTTCTAGCATGACGTATAATGGATTTGCTTGACTATTATTATATCAACTCACATAATAAAAATATTTTACATAATGATGTAAAACTATCAAAAAAACCTGAAATTGCATTAAAAAATCTTTGTCCACAACGATTGCTTGTCTATCAACATTGTTTACCAGGTCATCATTAGCTCAAATAAACATCAATCCAAAGATAAAGTATACATTGAGATAAGCAAAACCTCTTTTAAGCTATGCGAACCATCTAAAATTCTTTAACATAAAAAAGTACAAGAACGACACTGAGCTGTCTAAGGAAGTATGAGAACTAAAAGAATTTTACATTCTCAATCAAATGAAATGTTATTAAACGCTGTAAAACATATAATACAGTGTCAAAATTTGTAAGC